CCTGAAGTCAAAACATCTTTAAAATATTTATTTATTCAAATTTCCGAACATTACTTTTATGTTCTGGAAAAAAAAAGATACTAATCCTAAGCATAAAAGAATATATGAATAACGAATTGTGAATATAGGTCAAGAAGAAACACTCAAACACAACTTAGTGGAAACGAAGAAATGAAAACACTAATCACAAGTTTATGGGTGTATAAAGAATTAAAATTAAATCCATCGTTTATATATGTATAAGTTTCATAGTTTAATGTTTATTGAAAACAAAATTATAATAGCAAGTAAACCTATAAAAATGAAGGAAAAGTTTACTTATAACTTAATAGATAAATTTATTTTTTGTAGATTACTTCTAAATTTACATATATATCAATAAGATAAGGATTACAATTAGTGGCCTTGCCCTACTTGAAGTCTTAAACGTGATAGATAAAGAAGGTGATTTATAAAATATTTAAAAGGGACATTGTTCTAGATTCTACTTTATTTCTTCTTTATAAAAACATTATTAAAGATCAATTCGCTTTTATATTCATGCCATGTAAGTACAGAAATATCCAATATATGTATGTGATACGTTTCCACAGAAAATGATTACCTATGTGACACATGTGTTTATTCTGATAAGAAATAAGAAATAATAATTAGTTATGTAGTTATTAATGATGAAATGTAATAAAATAGTCATTTAAAAAATACTACCTAGTATTTAGCTCTTGACTTATCATATCTTAAAACTATCGTGCTATTACTCAAATGGAGAATCTATCCTTGGTTATGTAATTATTTTTAATGACAATAATATAAAGAAACATCTTGTAAGTAAACGTGTTTTTGTAAATGAGACTAGGTTCTAATATTAAGTTATAATTTTAAATATATCTATTAGATTTGTATAAATATTTTTTTTTAAAAAACGTCATACAAGTAAATAAAAATGTTTCGTAGTGGAGTAAATAGTTTATATAATTGAATTATTAAATAAAATTTAAAATATGTACAATTATGTAAAGTTGTGTAAGAAAACGGATTCGGTTTTAAATATTTTGTAAACGCTGTATTTCAAATTCACAAAATAGAACACTTTAGCGTCCACCTTTGTCTGTCTAGAACCTGAGCCTTTTAGAATTTTTGATGGAGCACTTTGCAAGTTTTAGTGAATTTTACTATATTTTTGACTGTTCTATTATAATTGAAATAAAGATTATTAAAAGGTTGAATTGTTTACATGTAGAACATTGATTAATTTCAAATAACACCAAAATTTATATTATTTTTGGAAAATCATAAAAATGAAAAACAATTCAATGCGTTACATTAAAATAACTAACAATTATAAGTTGTGAGATTATATATTTTATAATAAAATATAATATATTTTAATGGTATTTCTTTTAAGTCGAACTATAAAAAATAACTTATTTTATAATAAAGTAAAAGTAAATTGATGTAACATATTACATAATCCATATTCTTATGTGAAATTATTTATCAATAACATAATTCATTATTTTTCAGCACTTAGCATACGCATATGCGCGGAATCATTATACATGTCAAGATTTTTCTGGTACTGTTATTACCAATACACTATTTTTTACTTCCTTGCCAAAAACAGTTATCTTTTAAGGTTGAACTTAACTACTCTTTCACAACCAATGCATATAAGAAACCTTGCTTATATAACCATTTAATTTCTTCTTTTAGCAGTCCATTATCATATTAGAATAATACTGTTAAGTTTAATATATTATGCTAAAATATTAACAGCAAATGTATAGATCCTTAAAAAGTTTTTATTGTATTTTAGTTGCTGAAATCAAAATGAGTAAAAGCAATATCTCGATCAGACCTAACTCCAATAGTTTATAACGACTAGACAAAGCAATATTTTCTATGTAGTTGTGGTTCCATGTCAAACGAATAGAACATCTAGTTTAATGTTTTAGTTTCTCATACTGATAATTGATATATGTATGTTTGTATTATGTAGGTATCCATAATGTTGTAGATATTTTCATTAGTTTTGCTGTAAAGCCGATGGATATCATTTTAAGAGAAAAGAATTAACAAATAAGTTGATTTCAGTTTAGATATTTAAATAATAGCCGCGGATATACATAATTATGACTAATAAATAATATTTGTAGCACTTCTATTAACGGTCAATCATATTAGACTAAATCACAATATTTTGAGCTTTGATTTAGTAATTTTTCAACAGCAACAATTAATTATGTCATCATCTATTGTAATATAAAATTGGATAATTAATATGAAAATAGATAGTTGAAAATTCTTCTTTCTCAAATATTCACCCACATTTATATTTTATAAATGTTCGCCCGTAGTGATATAAACAGACAGTATAAAATATAAATATTTTTTTTATATTCATAATACAAAAATGAAAAAATACAAAAAATATTTCAAGAGATTTCTAAAGGTTTAAGTTCAAAAGATTTTAGAGGTTCTGTATTAAAATGAAACATTATAAACGTACCAAATAACTACAAAATCATGTAATAAAGTGTGATATTAGTAAAAAATTCATGAGAGATATTATTCACTTACTTACTGAAAATGAAGTATGTATCTTGTTGATGTTCATGTTCGTCCAGATAATTTATTTTATGACATCCTCGGTGACGTCGTTCGACCTCTTTTCGGCAACCGTGGCGGCTTTATCTTTTTATACAGGCTGTATCTTCATAAGGGTAGCACTTTGTTGACGAAGATTAATAGAGTAGTCCGTGATTCATGGCCGGAAAAGGAAGAGGGCTTGGTTTGAGATTAACTACTTAATTTCTCTTTAAATTAACTCTTCTCAGGAAATTAATTATTGGTCGAGTCTAAAAATTTCTTTTACTTTTATACAAAGGAAATTATTATGCGAAACAGTAATATTAAAAATAATAAAATACTTTTAAAATACCATTGTTATCAAAATGAGAACTATCACTGTGAATATATTTTAAAATTGATATCTTTTGTTTTTCTTGTCTAATTGTTCGTGATAAAATGCAACATTCCTTTATTTTAATGATGTGTCTGAATTATATATTAAAAATTACAATATAAACATATGTATATATAATATATCAAATCATACATCTCTCGTACCGACATTATTTAACTGATAGACAAAATTTGTGGCCGTTTCTATAAATTAAGACTCGATTTAATAGCTCATTATAAAAGTTTGAATTGAAATATGCCTTTCGTTTATAATTTTCCATTTGAAAGCAACGTTAATTATAATTTTCTACCTGAAATTATAATATTTTTGATAGCCAATTTTTATTTTCTATAAAACTTATGTTAACTTAATGATCATTTTATTCTTGTTTCTTTAAGTTATTTTTTTGTAATAAAAAAGAAGACAAAATTTTACCATTGTCTTTTGCTGAAAATATTTATAATCCGGATACGAGTCTTAAGTAAACAGCTATTGAGAGTATATTGCTCGCGATAAGCTTCTATAAGCGATACTAATAAAACTCGTGCCTAATCTCAGCAATTGAAGCAAAAGTTAGAAAATCAGCTTTCGTGATATGAAAAGGGATCTGTATTCTCGTTGATAAGGGTCTACTTAAAAAGGGATTAAATGGTTTGAATCTGTTTATACACATTGACCTCATTATTTTATCAGTGACGGAATAGTTTCACTTAACTATTTCAAAATAATTACACAACACTACTTAGCCATTTTCTAACATTCAAAGGATTCGTTTTTAGTATTTAATTTGTATACTCATATCTCAATACTTTGATGTTTTACATGAATGTAGTAGTTTTGTAATTTTTGTTATAGCCTTTGTAGTAAAGAATGAACATATACATACATATATTAAAAATGCTTTTAAAATAATTTGGCAGCTGCTTCTTCAAAACAATTCAAAGTGAGTTTTTACTATTTAAAATTAATTCTTTTGATGTTTTACTTCTCTTTCATCAATGAATTAAAAATAATCTATTTCAACAAATATGTAATTTTACATTATTGGAAATCTAGACGTTGATCTTTTTACATCTGTAACTGTTAAATTTGTTAAACTACGTACATTTCCTTGAGACAAACATAATTGAATTTATGCCTCCGTTTTGTGCAAAGCTAAATATTTTCATAGAAGCGATACTGCGTACAGCTTTCTCATATTTCTTGGCGCAACAGGAAATAACCTCATTTTCTTGAAAGATACTGTACCATTTTAATTTAATACCTAAGAGTACGGCGTACAGCGTATTCATAAATTTTGAAAGCCGATTTTCAGAATACAAAAATAAACTAGGTTTCCTCTAGGAGAACATATTATTTCTTTGTCGTCTGTATTTTCTGTATTTTCACAGAAATAAGGGTGACCTTCACATTATTATTTTACCTTTTATTTTCTTCTAAAAACTGATTTCTAATATTTGTTTCAGGTTTTTCAAAACAATAATTTATATCCGGAGAGGATTTTTGTTGTGACGTTAACGTGTAGAGTTCTATTTCAGTGACAAAAAATCTTTGGTAAGCTTAATTCAGTATCATATTTAATAAAACATTATACTGAGTGTAAAATATATTAATTTGTAAAAAATAATTTATTGTTCTTCTTATTAATTTCTAGAAGAGAGTAAGTAAAGAAGTTACTGTTAAAATTGTCTTAATTTTTTTATAATAGAATCTAAATAATTTAATACAGACATAGATTTTATAAAAAAAAAATGCAAATGCAATTATAATAATTAAATTAAAAAATTGTGTTATCGTGGAACATACAAGATGTTCCCAATTTCAGAGTATGATTCAGATCAAAATTTAAAACCATGATGAATAAAGAAAAATAGTGCATTCTGTTCATTATCTTTTTTTCTCTAAAAATAAAAACACGTTATAATTTTAATTAATATTTATTCACAGTTTCAAATACAGTAATATTTACAGTGATTTAGTGCCAAAACTAAAAACGATCCCTGTACAATAAAGGTCCAACAGTCAAATATTAACATCAAATATTTCTAATGATAGAGTAGAGATATCCAACGGAGTGAAACGTTAGAATTATAAAGTAGTACGACATCTTAAGCGGAGAGGAGAGTGTAGCGGATGCCCTTGGTAAACGTTCGTCTGACATAACGCTTGATGCTACGATGACTCGTCGAACATTAGAACTATCACTTCTAGCTTCGTCTGCGGATACACTACTCACTTCGGGTTGCATGCAACTTTGTATTTTTACCTGCATAAAACAAAGAATAAAATGTTATACTTTAATGACCAGAACCTTTATATCATAAATTTTACACATACCTCCGGCTTAGTAAGGTTTAAAATATTTTCATGACAACGGTGTGACTGGTGAGCTAAACACGCCGCATAGGCGATGGCATGTGGAATGTAGCTTTGTTCTACAACGCCAGCAAATAATACTGTTGCCATAGGACCTAATTATATAATATTTTAATAAGATATTAAAGATTTAAAGCTTTTCTAAAAAACAAAAAAAATGTCGTGTAAACCTAAAGCATATATGGGTACGTCCTCTCCACCGTGAGTAGCCCATTGTTTTGGCACAGCTGCCGCGTGCACTGCATCAGCCGGAGTAGTTGAAGTTCCATTCAATGGCAACGTTCTCGGTTCCGAGTGTCCCGGTCCAGTTCCATACAACAATGTTGTGTATCGCAAGCCATCTATGTCGGAAACTACCGTATCAGCACCTATCGGTGAAAGCATACTTTTACGCCTTTATGAGTTACAAATTACTCAGGATAAATGGATGTAACGCTTACTCATTTTTAAATATAAGTATGTATTGTACTAACTGAAACCTGACTTTAAATTAAATTATATACCTAGTTCATTAATTATGGGAAGGTGAACTTTTTTTAATAAAAAGAGAAAATTACCTAAAATTGGATGACCCCTAGGGGTAGCTTGACCACCAAAAGTCATTACGTGGCCGTGATCGGCCGTCACCACAATTAGGGTCTCCGCTGGGTTTACTTTCTCTAAGGCAGCTAATAGTGCAGTTTCCAATTCCAAAGTTTCATCAAGAGCCCGATAAGGATTATTATAATGGTGAGCGTGGTCTATTCTACCTCCTTAAGACAAATAGTTTTAATAGTATTAATATAATATAAAAAACATAACCTGCATCTCTTAAATCTGTTTAATAAGATTGTTGAACAAAAGTAAAACCATAAAATTGTTAATATAAATATTACAAATTTTAATTTTTCACCTTCTATTAATAGAAAAAATCCTTTATCGTTTTTAGACAATATTGATAATGCAGTACGGGTCATGTCTGCTAATGACGGGTCATCTGCTTTAACTGTTGAACTTGAACCTATATTTTCCTCAGTATCCAATACCACGCCTCGCTCAGCATTAAACTCCATATGAGAATATTCAAATAATCCTGGTTCAAAGATTTATTGTTATAAATGGTCAAAATGAAATCAGAAATATTTTTCTGAAAAATGTGGTATGAATCTAATAATAGAAAGAGCAATTTTTATTTATATTGAACGATAATTATCTTACACTTATATTCATTAAATTTTTATTACTAAAAGATAGAAATAAGCAATAGTTGTATTTATAAATAAATGTATAGTTATTTTCAAGCTTGTAAGTAAAAATTTAACCCAATTTTGGGAACTGTTTGTTAGTTGTTGAAAAAAAAAACCCTGGAGACACTACGTCAACATGAAACGTCACTTGTTTGTGAATATTTCCCTTCACTTGAGCTTTGTCAACCCCATTGTAATGTAAAATAATCTTTGTTATCCTTGGAAAAACTTTTCTAGCCAATGTATAAACATTTTACCAAGGTTTGTTTTACTCGAGTAAAGGATTATGATAAACAGTTTTATAAAAAAATATTATAGTGAAGATATCATAATTACGTTGCAATTTACACATTATATCTGTCTTTTCTGACAAAAAGTTTAAAAACTATAAAACCTGCTTCCTTGACCGTTACATTTTTTGCAAGCCAAAGCAAAGTTTATTTACTTTTAAAATAATAATGAACATGGATTTTCCAGAGCTTGTTAATTTCGGTAAGTGGTATTTTTTTTATTTGAAAGTCCCTACAAATAAACTATGCATATCCTATGAATTATTAATTTCAAAAAACATGACCTATCTCCGACTTTACTTGAAAAAACCAAATAAATAAACTCTGAAAATAATATTTAATGAATCGTTATAAAGTATTACATAAAATTACGAAACATTACCATCTTCATGCTAATAAAGAAAAAGAAATCGATTACTATTGAAAAAAAATGTTGAACATTCAGATTTCTTTCTCCTTGTTTAAAATGAATAATTCACCAGTCATTTATTAGTTCAGAACTTATTCAAAATAGTTGAAAAGCGTTTCTCTCTATCTCTTTATAACACAAAGATCCTTAACAAAACTTCAGTTCTGATAATTTTCTTTGTTGTTACAATTTATCCCATCCTTTTTATATTTCAGGACAGTTTTGAATATTTTATTTTTGTAACAATTTACAAAGAATAATAGCGACTATAAAAGTTATAAGCTTAATTTAAGCCTGTTGTTTGAAATATAAAAACTCTCGTTATAAAATTTCTTTCCGATTGAAAAATAACGATAAACTTCAAAAGCTTTTACTTTTAAATAATGACAAAAAAATAACATACCTAAAACATAATCTACAGTTCTTGGATCCAGTTTCACTAATTGCTCCTTTGAGTGGATATACTGTGCTCTTAGACGTCGTCTTTTCTTTTCCCTAGCCCAATCTTCAGCTAAATTTCGCCCATCAAGCCTTCTTCCTTCTCTGTTGGGATGTTCAGGGTCTGACGTAACCGTTGGAAGAAAATGGCGCCGTCCACCACCCATAATAACCTAATATTATTGAGAAGTGATATTCATTAGCATATCCAGTTGGTTCAATAATGCACTGGCCTGATATAGTTCTACGCTATATATCACTACATATTGTGTTATATTAAATAGTACGTTTATCGTTTACTTTATACATTAAATACGCATCGACATGAAATGCTTAGTCTTATTTTAGCAGGCATTTGAATAACGAGAGTCGCGTATTTTTGGAATTGTCGAAAACTGGCTATGGAGGTGTCATAAAGTGTGTAAAGAAGGATTATCCCCCTGCCTAAATTAAATAACTTTTGAATGTCATGTACTAGGAAACTCCTATGGAAACTTCCATCTCCTATAACTCAGTAAATAATTGATTGTAAGAGTTTCGCCTCGGGAGTGAGATCGTTGAAGTGCTCACTCCAAGAAATACAAACGATTGCTCTTATTAAAAAGGAGATTCTGAGTGACCACTGTTTGAAGATAAGAGAAATTTCAGCTCGGCTTACGCTCTCTAAAAGTACAGTTCATCATGTGATCCAAGTAAAAAGTTCAAGGGTTAATGGAATGGCGTTTTAAGGGTGAAAAGCCCGCTAGAAAAGCAAAGGTGCAAAATCGACTAAAAGTGATGGGCAAAATCTTTTAGGATTTTCAAATTATTTCCATGGTGAATTTTAAAGAACGTAATACAGTCGTGAACAGCAAGGATTATGTTTCTTTAATAAATAAATAACGAGACAAGATACAGGAAAAACGAAGTGGCAAGCTGTCTAAAAGTGTTCTGTGCCCCATGACAACGCCCCTTTTCATACCGCTGGTGTTTCGAAGGATGCATTTCATCAATACGGATTCACAGAAGTGGAACGTCCATCTTACAATCTGAACGTGGCCCCGTCCGACTATTATTTATTTCCAAATTTAATGCGTGACTTAAAAAGAAGAAAATTTTCAAGCGATAAAGAGTAGCAGGTGGTGATCTTCGGTCATTTTGAGGATAAAATTGTGATTTAAATGAATACTCGCGGAAGTGACATCTCAAAAATAGTGATTGTTGTGGTAAATATTAAGCGCGTTCATACACAGATGTCAAGAGAGCGTTAGTATTCATGGTGATTATATTGAAAATCAAATAGGTTTCGATTTAGTTCCTGCATTAGTTCATAGTTAGGCCAATTTATTACGGGACAACCTACGAACATTTTTAACGTTTAGTTATTAACGAAATTTTAAGAACCTATTTCAGATATTTATTTTATGTTCTAATTTAGCTTATCCAAAATATATATTTAAGTATTATTACAAAATACATAGTAGGAAAACGAAACTCTAAACTCCTCTTACATGTGATATTTATGCTAATTAGAGACTATTTATGAGATAATAATACATATATAATATTATTCCTCTTTAAGCTAACCTTTTCAAACATGTAAATAGATGAAATAGATTTTTTATTTTCAATTTGATAGATACTATTAAATATATAACATACTAAAATATTGACACTTAAAATGGTAAAATAAACGAATAATTATATGGCCAAAACCAATGGCCAAAATAATAAAGTGCAATTACTACTGCCACTAATTTGAGAATTAGAAAAAGTATAACTGTCGTTTTATTACTTTTTATTTTATGTTGTATTATTATTACACAAATTTCGATAAAAATAGACTGGAAACCTTATTTCAACATATATTATAATAATTAAACTATTGAATATGTCAGCAATACGGGAGCAAAGATATGGAGAAAAGGTACGAACTTCCCACTACCCCCCATGATTAAGAAAAAAAAGCCAGCTTAGCTAAGCTAACAGATATAACGTATCTATCTTTATCCCAAAAATCAGTTCCATGATATAAATAAATTATAATAGTATTTTATAACATGAGAAATAAACTGTTATCCTTCCTACAATTAAAGACGGCTACTTCATTAGAAATTTTAGTGAAATCTAAGAACAAAATTTTGATGCCATTCATTTATCATAACAGAATATGGTGGAAAATTGTTTATAGATCTGGAAAAATTTGACAAAAAATATACCAATGTTTTCTTACCGTTGGTTAATTTTCCATTACATTCTTCCTCTTTTAATTTTAGTTCAGTTATTATGTAGGTACGTACAAATATGTATTGATAATTAAAAATATAGTATTAAATTATGTAATAAACTAAAACCTACAACCGAAAATAAAGTTAAATAAATTGAAATATACCTATCTGTATATGATGTTGGATTTTGTTTAATATAAAAACAGAAATTGGATATTTTTTGGTTTGAAACCTTAGCTGACAAGCAGTTACTTTACATTCATAGCGTATCGGTACGTTCTCATACAACATAACAAAGCCCGTAATTACATAAATTATTCAGATGTGTTAATTTTAAGAGCATGTATTTCTAACGTACCTAACGATTCAGATGAGTTAATTTTAAAAACCATGATTTTTAAACAAACCTGAAAAGCTGAATATTATATACTACACGGTATTGCTTAAATTTTATTTTTATTATCCCAAAGAAAGTAATAAAAGCTAATTTATTGATACAATAAAATGCTGAAAATGATAAAACTGAAATCATTTTTATCTTCTTTATATTAAAAAAACCTACATATTACACTATAAATATATTTATAATGATTTCTGGAGTCATTTCTATTTTATAAATATTCGCCTTGTATTACATAATTTTACAATAGATAAGATAAACAATTAGAATACATGACTTACATTTATATTCTTTCCCGGGTCATTTTCAACAAGTTGCAATGCTATGTCTTTGCAGTCTCGCCGTACTGTTGGGGGAACCCGACTGTCATCCTCCCAATACCTTGAAGGAGCATGGGCATAAAGAGCTGCAGGGGTGGCATGTGTTATACGGGCTGTTGTTACAATCCCACTAGATTTACCTGTTATAGTAAGCTAGTTTAAAGTTCTATAAGAATAACAATAGTGTAACAGTATATTTTATAACATGCTTCCAACTCAGACGGACAGTGATATTTTGCTCAAAAGCTTTATTTCGTTAAAATATTTAATATAACTTTTAAACGTTCAATTTTTTCTTTATCTTAAAAGAATAATAAAGAAATTGAGACAACTGTAATTATTATTTTCAATACTTTAATACGATACATTAGCTAGTAAATTTTATAAAATTTTGTTTTATTCCTTTAATTTGTGATCAAAAAATAGACAAAATTAAATTCTAAATATATCGAAATATCAATTATATTAAAGTTTTATAGATCTTTATATTATTTACCAGCTTCGTGGGCCCAATCTATCAGAGAAGTAACTTTAGAGTTTATTGCCGAAGCACAGTTGTTGAAACGACCTCCAGAGTCAAGACCTAGAGTCTCGTATCTCGCCTTTACTCCACATAAGAGAGCTGTAGCACAAGCAGATGACTCTCCAGTTTGAGCGTCGATATTGTACGTCTGTTTGAAAATATTGTTGAGTATAATCTTTACTTACTAATTTATGCCCAAAGTATCTTATCGAATTTTATAAAAAACAGAATAAGGACATAAAAAATATTTATAGTATTATATAATAGCTTCTCGCATATTAAGATGAAAAAAATAGTGTTTGAATTTACATTATAATCGAATTAATTTAAAAAAATAATAAGATGTAGTAATATGCTGTGTATTTGATGTACGTACAATAAGACTATTTCGTCTGTCTATTCCGATATAGGTATATTCAAGGATTACATTACATATTATCGGTCTTCATTAAGTTAGCTGAAGAGGTCGTCCTTATTTGTTTTGCCGGACCCTATCCTTATAATACAATTATAGTTGATGATTTGTTTGCCAAGCAGATTATTGAGGGATCAAAGATATTAAGGAGCACCTCGAGTAATAAATAACTTATCTTACTTTGTGCCAGTTTATTGTTATTCTAAGTAAAGTTATGGTATATAAATTAATATAGTATTCGCAGTTACATGTGTATTTTTTTAATTAAAGATAGCATTATGTTCACCTTTCAATCATTCTATTGGTAAATTAAAACAAGGCGTGAATGGTGAAAGCACTATTTAAGTACCAATAGTGATAACATTGACATTTTTTATTTTATAATACTTAAAAGTAAAAAATTGGTCCCTAAATAGATATTTATTTAGTCACTTAATTTATTTCTTTAACACTGAATAAAAGTCCACTCTTAAATAAAAAAGAACAATAGAACACCTGTAAGCAATGATCTATGCAATATAAAAAGTTAGCTTTACCTTTGCTAATGCTACCGTGGGGAACGTATCCCACACTAGATCAGTGTCTTCCCCAGACTGACCTCTTCTTTGACCACGAAGTATTCTGGCAGCTGTAGTTGTTGTCAAACTCATTCCGTCTCCGACAACTAATATGACGTTCCTAACAGAATTTTATTTTTCAACAAATGCATGGATTTTCAAGCACATTTTTATCAACTTATTTTATTAATATTTATAAGAGATTTAAGAGCTAAATATCTTTTATATTATATCAAAAAAGAACATATTAAAACTAGTAGATAAATATCAAACGTTCCGTTATTTAATATCAACCTTATTAGTCGGCATGAAAATTTTATGGAGCAAATATTTTCAAGATAAAATCTTTATTTATTATATTAGTAGACTACGATTTATAGACAATGTGTACTGTATACTGAGATTATAAACAGACCCTAAATATTGGGGTTGTTAATCAGAAAGTAATTTTCATGCAATATTTATCTAATAAAATATGTTAGATGATAAACCTAATCAGAATCTGATTTATTAGACGCCTTAGTTGAAAAACCACATACTGACAACGGAAAGTTAGTTACACAATTAAATCTAAGCTTTTAACATAAATTCTGATGTATCTTAATAACATTTTTAATTATGGACGATGAAATAAATCATATCTCTTTATATGTAGCTTGTACTCGTAAATTAAAAGGAGTGTTTTATTATTTGTTTTAATTTTAATACAATACATTTCTAATAAGTAGAAGGCTAATATTATTGTATTGAAGTGCATTTTTTATCATTATGATTGTTCATCGGTTTCGTAAATTATAAGATATAAAGAGTACAAAACCCAAAAACCCTTTTAAAAAATGTTTTTAAGCATTCTTTGTACAGATGTTCTACCCGATATGTAATATGATTTGTTATGTGAACAAAAGTATTTGTGAGAATTGAAAATACCTGGAAAGGTCGAGATATTTTTGTTAAAACATTATTGTTTTTGCTCTGTTAGGAATATTTTCAGTATGACGGAGTGGAGCGAGAAGCCTAAAAACTATAGGTTATGTTGTTATAGTAAAAGGGGCTTCAAGTCCTTAACTTAACCTCATAATAGACAGACTTCTTTTAACTTTTCTAATATACCTATACTTTTCATTTACTTAGCCTAATTCTTATTGATATCTTCAAACCATCCTGCATACTACACCCAAACGAAGAAATATTGATAATACAAATATATTTAACACAACAACGATATATGATTGCATATTTATCTATTCTTTGTTTTCACAAAGTTTATACCAAAAAAAAATTAATGCTCCAAATTGTTACCAATTTTGAATTCCGAAAAAAAAGTTCTTTGAACTGTGCTTAAATAATAATTAATACACTAATTATTGCTTAAAGGTTTGCACCTGATGTTATGCCCAGTTTATGACATTAATAAATGAAATAAATAATACATATATGTTTTTTTTGTCCATTTTTCATTTAATATAAAAATAAGACCCGAGATTGAAAATCAAAATTTCATCAATTTGCTATTAGTGGTTGTCATGTCTTTAATGATTTCCGGATTAAAAGAGAGGTTTTGGTTATTAATTTGATAAAAACTAACATGAATCTGTAACATAACATGTGGCAATTAAACATAAATTGTCCCAAGAAATTACTCTGATGAATTTAACTCATCTCATATGTAGCTACATTTATGGAAACTATTTCAGTGGATCTGCCTGGTGAGGATGCTCCATTATATTAAAGTACTTAGTATGCCATGTGTGTCATCAAAATAGGGTTTTTACTATTTCAAAGTATTAGGTGAGAATATAATAGCAAAAATTATAATTAATTTTCTTATTCTTATAGGAACTAAATTATATTTTACGGGCATGATTCCAAATGATTCCAATATTTATTCTACCAATTTTTCATGTTCCTGTGGACTACTCAGATCTATAGAAAAGATGTCAGATTAGAAAAAAATTCTCCAAAAACAGAAGTTTCATGTTTACCTTCATACATAGTAAGAGATATGGGTGAAAAAAATAGTTTTACCCAAAAGATTTAGAATTTCTTACTTTGCCACTGGGTTTTTTTCCGATGCATATAGCAAGCGTTTTTTTAGAGTTTCCTGTGCTTTTGCATACCAGTAGTGACGATCTGGAAATAAAATATCATCATTTTATTAATTATTGTAACAGTTATATCTTATAGTATAATGTTTAAGGTTCTTGCGAATACTATTAAAATAATTACTTTCGTTTATGGATTTTCTATAGGCTTTATTTTGTTACATTTTACTCGATTTGGAGTTTCGATTACCGCAATTGTAAATACGGGCAGATTTAATGATTGTGTCTGTCAGTCGGTCATGGTTATTTTTGTGTTTTGTTCTACCTGTGTAGAGTATAGTGAATGGACGAAGAATACGCTATCTGTATCTCAAGGTCTGATAAAATGAATACGGATATGGGATTCTTTGTTTCCGATGAAGAAATTTGAGGTGTTAAATAAATAATTTCTAGCCATCTTATCTACTTAAACAAGTATGTTTTTCAGTTTTAATAGAATAGACTAGCAGATTTATCTCGGATATAGACTAGCAGATTAATAAATTAATAATACGTACATACGTATCTTCATGAGCGAAATTTTCAAACACATAGCTTCTTCTTTATTGAAATTAGTTTTATTGAAGATTAAAACGTAAAATAAGGCATAATAATCATTTGGTAGACCAGAAAATAATATTTTCATTTTAATTGACATCTGATACCTAATCCACGAATTAAAATCTACTACAAAAACTAGATACAAATAGAACATCACCGCAGAGAATCAAAGATTTTTTATTGAATGAAAAATTAACACCCTCTAATATTAAATGTGTTTTTATTATTTTGTATGGACATAATCCCGACTTTTCGTTTCCTTTACAGAAACCGTGTCATTGGGTAGACGACATGAAAGAATCTCAATATGTAGTTTGAAATAAAAAATGCCTATTATCGGAAATGCTTAGTTTCATTAAAATCTGTACACCTGAAAATTTTGGCTGTCATTACCTCATGTAATTCTGTACTAGCTGTATTTCTAAGTGCAATATACTATGTATATGTATAAATTGAAAAATGTCGTACTCCGACAGTTAATTACTATTAAAAATCGCAGGAAACGATTTTATTTTTGCATGATTACACACATAATGTTACACATATCCTTTAAATCCATTTTTGGCTACTATAAAACATGTTCAGTAGCTTTATATGAAAAGAAGGAGAACTAAAACAAATATAAAAGCTGGATTTAGTTTGAATATTTCATTGCTTCTACTAAATTCTGCTTTTGTTTAATGTATAGACGTAGCGAAGTGTATTTTATAAAAATTATAACGAAAGGTTGCTAGCAACATTACTTTTTTCATTTGTGAAACAACAATCTATTTGGTTTTCTATGTATATAAATATGGACTGGATAATACTTGAAGATTATTCTTGTCAAGCCTGATAGTAAGTAGAAATGAAGATTCAGTAAGAAGAAGTATCAATTATTTAAATTTAAAAAAAACAAGACTCTTGAAGTCCGTTAATGGCGCCCATTAAATGGAAATCACTAATAAAACATATTTAAAATAAAATTCACACATACCATATGTTTCCTTAACTTCAGCATTTTTCGGTGCAGGAGATAGTACTCCAGTGCTGATCGTGCACATCATGATCACGATACAGCACCAAGCAAACATGATTGACAAGCTTCATCGGTGCTAAGGCTTCAGAAACTCCTAAGGCTTTTTGCGTATTTCCCCAATTCTCTTAGTCTCAATTTTTATCTTCCTTTAAATCTTCGTTGTTGTTTTCTTTCATACCTTAAACAAATTATAATTGAGTTAATTATAATTATTGTTTTCTAGCTGTCTTTTGAATCGAAAATTAATGTTTCTTAAATTAAATAAACTAAAAATTTTGTATTCATTTTAGTTACTGTCAACGAAGAAAATTTTACTTTTAATTTAGAAAAATAACTTGTAAAACTGATTTAATGTACAAAAGACAATTAAAAATAAACCTACAAGATATTATATCTATTTACACTATTAACCAAACAATGTATCGCTCAAAGCAATGTTTTTTATTTCAAAAAAAAGTATTTCCCTAGCGAAACGTTTCACTCACAAACTTTAATTTATCTAGAAATACATACTTTATCTGAAGCAATATCACAAGCAATATTCATGTTTGTCAACACACCTGAGGGGAAAATGTTGGAAGTTGGGAAATTATTATAATGCAAAGATACATCATACGGTGGCATATCAAAAGAAATGATAATAATCTATACTTTTTTCATAACATGGATTATAAATAACACACCAAAATTCAATATACTCATAATTTAAGTTATAAAGGGAATTTATATGCATTTAAATGAAACTAATTAATTAAATTATATGCATTTTCATTTTTCATATAATTATTTTATTAAAATACTGAATGACTTTCTTTTTAAATGATTTGCATTAAACGCCAGTACAAACTTTATTTATTATTTAAGCTGAATTTACATCTTTTACACAGTCCTAATTGGACAAACAATAAAAATACAGAAGTTAATTAAAACATATTACTTTCTAACAACCTGAAATAATATTATAATTGTATAAGTAATTTTGTTAGTTTGTTACTTTTACTCTTATATATTTCCTATACGGTTAATCAGATCATACAGAAAATTCCATATCTCTGATTTCTATCACACAAAGGACAAATGGTATGTCTTTTCTCAAATAAAGTTTTGTCGACACCCATTTAATGCTAACAAAGTTACGAAACCATTTTTATTTGTCATTTAAATGAAACTAATATTTTCGGATTTACTACGCGATTTTTTCATTTTTGACTATAAACTACATACTCCCGACGTTTCGGCTACTTTACAGCAATCGTGATCACGGGCAGACGAGATGTGAGTGTCTGTCAGTCGGTCTTATTATTTTATTACCTACCGCCATCGATTTCTTAATCTTCTGGCGTACAGCTCTGAATGCCGGCAGAATACGCTCACGGTGTATCGAGGTCCTGCGGTGTGGTCACGGACATGGGAATTTATATTTTTAAGAAGAGGATCCCAGGTGTTTGATAGGTTTCAGCCATCTTCTCTATTGAAATTGGGGTATTTCTTCATTTCAATAGCCTCGAGGATTAACATTGGTATATATCTGTCTTCACGAGCGTGGATATGTGGTTTATCAAATCTAATATAATGGTCTGGTTTGTCCAATGCATGTTTACACACTGCTGACGTCGACGCGCGCCTATTCCTGACGTCCGAAATGTGTTCCTTAACCCTTGTACCGATGCTTCTCTTTGTCTGTCCAATGTATGACAAGCCACAGTCACAATTAAGTTTGTATACACCCGCTTGTTGTAAAGGAATGTTAATAAGACCGAATGACATACACTCACATCTCGTCTACCCGTGATCACGGTTGCTGTAAAGTAGCCGAAACGTCGGGAGTATGTAGTTTATAGTCAAAAATGAAAAATCGCGTAGTAAATCTAAAAATATTAGTTCCATTTAAATGAATAGGTACTCGCGAAAATCTTAGATCTCATTATGTGAACCAGTACGGACTGGAAATTGCCAACAAAACACGCCGGTTGGAGTACATACCTCAAGACGAAGAAAGCTAGATTATTACCATCTTTGAATTTCCTCAAGAGATGCAAAGACCATGACATCATACCAACATGTGTCAAAATATCACCTAAAAAAGACATCAAACATAGCGGCAGGATACTTCATCAGCCAAGTAAACGGTTACTTTGTTATCTTATTAGACAACATCGGTCGGATGCACGTCAGTTAGATTTTCAAATTGATGTGCTGAATCATGAAATACAAAGATGTTTGTCAAAGACAGATTAGCAAAAATGTTATGATATTATTAATAAACGTGAACAATTCACGTATAATATGAAAATTTAAAAATTAATAAGTTTAATAAATTAACGGATAAAATTAAAGTTAGAAATAGCAATGGCAATAATTCTAATATTAATTTAAATGGGGCAACACAGTCACCGGTGACTGTTGTCAATCTGTCAAAGCAAACTTTAGATAAACAAAACGTTGAGATCCTTAAAAAAGGATTGAATTTTGCACCTGTACTATCAAAATTATCGTTCGAAAACATTATCTGTAACATTGAGGAATGTCTTCATAAGAATCAGGTCACGAAAGAAGAGTCTGAAGCAATCCGGTAGGACGTATCATATGTTCTGCGCCGGAGCAAATTGCCTCGACAAAAAATCTCTCGTCAGGAATCACTTCTAAACTAGCTAAATTCCTTTCAAAGATATTATCACCACTCCAGGGCCACACAAAGTCATTTGTTAAGGATTCCTACCAGTTTGTCAATGATATTAAACACCTAAAATTGACAGACAATGACATGGTCAGTTTCGATGTACAGTCATTATTCACTAATCTACCTGTTCTTGACTGCATTGAGATTGTAAGAGGTAAGTTAAAGGAGAGAAATATGCCTCTTGAATATGCAGAACTGTTAAAGCATTGCCTAACATCTGGCTATCTCATGTGGAAGGATGAATTCTACATACAAGTAGATGAAGTAGCAGTGGGTTCGCCGGTTCTCCTCGTTCTCGCAGATATATTCATGAAAGACTTCGAGGTGCGATTCCTTTGCTTTCCTCCAATAAGACCTTTAATTTATAAACGGTATGAAGATGACACCTTCACAATATTAAATAAAACCAAAACATCTGCTTTCCTGAACCATCTTAATTTTATCAATATCAAGATTCAGTTTACTATAGAAATAGAGGCAAATGATTCTTTAGCTTTCCTTGATATACTTGTCATCAGGAATCCTGACAATACTTTGGGACATACTGTTTATAGGAAACCCACACATATGGATAGGTATCTCAATGGTAACTCACACCACCACCCTATACAGTTAGCTAATGTTGGCAAATCTTTGTTACAGAGAGCACAACACCTTTGTGATGCTTACCATCTAGAGGCCGAGCTGCAACATGTTGAACAAGTTCTCACCATCAATGGCCTGCCCGTGCCTCGCCAGCATCACAGGAACCGTATGAATCCATCTACAGTTGAGTGACAATCTGCGATTCTACCATATGTGAAGGGAGTTACTGACAGAATAGGCAACATCTTGATGACGGTTTCAATCAAGACTATTTACAAATCATATAAGAAAGTGAGCCAATTCTTGAGACCAATGAAGCATAACATTCCTTTACAACAAAAGGGTATATATGAACTTAATTGTGACTGTGGCTTATCATACATCAGTCATACAAAGAGAAGCATCGGTACAAAGGTTAAGGAACACATTTCCGACGTCAGGAATAGGCGCGCGTCGAAGTCAGTAGTATGTAAACATGCATTGGACAAAGCAGGCCATTACATTCGATTTGATAAACCACATATCCTCGCTCATGAAAAAACACCCCAATTTCAATAGAGAAGGTGGCTGGAACCTATCAAACATCTGGGATCCTCTTCTTAAAACTATAAAATCCCATGTCCGTGACCACACCACAGGACCTCGATACACCGTGAGCGCTTTCTGCCGGCATCCAGAGCGGTACGCCAGAAGATTAAGAAATCGATGGCGGTAGCTAACAAAATAACAAGACCGACTGACAGACACTCACACCTCGTCTGCCCGTGATCACGATTGCTGTAAAGTAGCCGAAACGTCGGGAGTATGTAGTTTATAGTCAAAAATAAAAAAATGGCGTAGTAAATCCGAAAATATTAGTTTCATTTAAATGAGAAATTTCACGAAAATCTTAGATCTCATTTATTTGTCATTTTTGTTTAATATTAGATAGATACTAGATAGATTTACTTTTATTTAATTCCTAAAGATATATTTTAAATATGATAGGTTTTTAATATGTATAAATTTGTTCATGGATATTAAAAAACATTAATCAATGTTCAAAAGGTTTTTATCACACAAACGAAACCACTAGATGAAATTACATTCTTTACATTACTTATCCTGTCATGCCTTTTCTTTTCTAACTTTTTAAAGTTTCTAGATGAAACATTTCTGAGCTCAACATCTTAACTTTATTTCTAGTTTTTTTAAGTTTTCTATAATTATTATTAATCATGTTATGAGTAATTTTCTTGCAGTCACAAATTTTGTCATCTCTTTCATATTCCATTTCATTTGTTAATATGTTTTTTTTCTTTTATTTAAAGTTGTTTTTAAAATAAAATATTGTTTTATATAATATACATTAATTTATTTACATTAATAGAACATACTTAGACAATAAAATCTTATAAAATTTGAAGATGACTAACAACCCTTAACAAGTTTTCAGGAAATCAACTATTATGAAGTAAAAGTATGATTCAGCAATGAGTCCTCATTAATATTAGTCGAATAATAGATTGAAATCGCTTATTTGAAATCTTTTGCCAACTTTTTAAAAATAATTTTTATCTTAATGAAAATTTCCAAGAAACAGCTTTAATAGGAGTTAGCTGACGTATAAGGATAATACATGAAACTGTTTTTATTAGCTTCTATTTACATAATTTGCAATTTATGTATATATACATATGTTTGTGCGAATTAAAGCTTACATACAATACAATTAGGGAAAAATTAATATACACATTTGTAGTCTAGTTTTATATAATTTTCCTTATGTTATATAAATCAAACAAATAATA